CTTCAACTACTATGTGGTGTACAACCAACTACAATATAAACACATATACCAACTTTGGTGCTGTATTTTCTTGACATACTATTGAATTTATTTCTTTAATATTTCCACTCTAGGATTATGTGTAGTTCAGCTGATTGCAGAAGCTAAGGTTCTAGATTAGGGCTGGCTAAGATGAAGGATGAATCCCCTAATTGTGCAAATAGTCTCAAAATATGAAAATCTCAATTGATTCCCAGTGTAGAGATAAGGACATCCTAAGTCATATGTCTAAAAATTAGAAGTTAAGTGTAGCAAAAGATAGATAAGTGGGATTGTGAGATAGAGTTATATGTAGGACCTAGTGATAGAGCTATACATCTTGAAGAAGTGGGGAATTCAATGAGTGATCAATCATGATTGTTTGCAAAGGGAGTATGATAGATAGTAGACTATAGTATCAACTCTAGAGATTTAACATTAGATATTGGATGAACTAAATAGTACTTGTTTCATGTATAGGTATTTAAAAACAGGCAGGTGATATCTTATATCTGATTTCCCATGGTAAATATTGTGACAAGTTTATGGATATTCATACTGTGTACATGTAATCAGTTTTGCCAAAGCAAGTAAATGAACTTGTGGCTGCCATTTTGTAGTGTGAACTGCTTGCAGCTTACTTATGTTATACAATGTTATGTAAATATTACACTACTTATTTAGCCCCTAAATTCGGAAATGAGAGATCTTAATGGTGATTATAGTTTTGTTGAGTTTTTACTCAGGATGATGCAGGAATAGGATCTGGATTTCCAAAACCTTAGAAGGATAAAGATATATTGGCTAATGAGTTTACCAGCAAAGCTAATCAAGTATTCAAGTAAATTAGCTAAAATATATTAAAGAAGTTAAAATCTAAAAATCTTAAATAATACCTAATACTAATACAATAGAATATACAAGATTAAGAGGTATTCCTGATGAAGTATTGTATTAGATTTACCATTTTTTTTTTTCTGCCAAATGCAGACATTTGATTTCATCAAAGTTTTGGACATAAGGATGTCAGGAAAATTTACATACAAAGTGACTCACTTCTAGGTCTGATCTGACTTCTAGTCTAATATTTTACCATTTAAGACCATGTATCTATGTGGAGCTACCAAGCTCATGACCTCATAATTTCTATTAGATTTGATTACTTGTCTATCACCTATATATTTCCTGATAATTCATTTGATTAGACAGGGTAACTCCCAGCACTCTTTTTTTTTGGTTCTTTTCTTTAATCTTTTCTGTGTGATCTACATTTTTGAATTGCTGATTCCTATTCAGAGTTTCCATATTTTATTAGTATCAACTTACTCACCTTGCATGATAGCGGGTTTGGTCTATCAGACTTTCATGGACATTACCCAAGTATCTCTTGGGCAGTCATAAATCATAAAACTTAATGACAGGTTTACTAAGGCAAGAATAGGCAGTAGTTAGTTGTACTTAGTCTTGAAATCTAATTTGAGTCATCTCAATACTGTGGAGGATCATTGCTGTCAAACTTTAGTTTGTTGGTATACCTAGTATTGTAGCTAGGTCTTTGTTGCTAGGATATTTGTTTATTTACTAATTGGATTTTCTTGCTAGGGGACGTGATACATGTGGCCTTCTGGGTGACTTGTGAATTCTTTATGGCAGTTGTGAATCATTCCTCTCACATGTTGAAAGTATCAAGAGCTGCCCAACATACTTTAGCTATATGTTCCAAATCATGGACAAAATCTCGCTCCTTCAAAACACTCTCAAAGTTGGTGAAGAACCTACTACATCATTAGCTAAACATTAGCATCATTGGTGAAACACTTGCATAGTTAGCGAAACACTTGCATAGTTAGTGAAACACTTCCAACAGTAGTATAACACAAATATCTTACTCTACTGTAATACTGCAAGTATGGAATGGAAGGAATTTTATCATGCCAAGGATTTATTACTTGTTGGAATGTCTATATAAGTCCAGGATATTTCCTTTCTCTTTTATTCTATAGTGCTTTTCATTCATCTATTCATTATCACAGGGAGATCAGGTTGTATACTGTAGCTATTGTTTATTTCTCTTGTCTCATTATTCTTTACTGTCTTTATAGAAAGAATCACCACTCTTTATTCTCTATTATTTTCCTGCACTGAGATACCAGCACTCATTGTCATTGGGTACTGTATTTGATTTTGTGTAAAATTACAACTGTCAACCAACAGGTCAGAGACAACATAAGTGAGGATAACAGTAGAACAACAAAGACCACCAGAAAAGCAACAACAACAGACAGAGAGTTATCAGGAATAGCAATGAAGATATTGAGAGCCTCACAATACAGAATTCTTGAGATTGTTTTCTTTTTCTTTCCTCTCTATGATTACACTTGACAGAAATAATTTGGGAGAGATAGAAGCATACCTAGTTAGTGGGAGTTTTAGTTTCTGTGTCTGGCTCTCGTTTACTATAGTACTTAGTTACCTATATATGTGGAAAGTAACTGAGCTTCGTGCCAACCCTCAGCCTTTAGAAATTCCTATTTCTAGAGGGAGAGGAAACAGTACTCAAGTGACCCAGCACCATTGGTAGTCCCAATGATGATCTCCAAATCATGAAGATCACATCATTACAGGACAGGCTTAACGTACCTAGTATCAAAATTTACTGTATCACACTGCCCAAGGAATAGCAAGCCATCCACCCAAATACTAGCTACTATTTAAATCTCAATCGAGGTTTCACCAATTACTTAGCCCAAACTTACTGATGGCTCGCTATGGCCTGGAATACTTTATCCTTTAGACATATTTTCATCACACTGATCATCTACCATATGAGGAAGTATACAAGGTGGTTACAGAGCATGCAGGTAACCAGTATCTTTGGAGTTCAATGCAGTGTTGCTACGTCAATATGACTCGTGTTCACAAATTTCCTCTTCCTCCTGTCAGCTAACATGTAGAGGCCACGTAACCATAGTGATGAGAGAGGGTACTTAAACTTGGCTTGGTTCCACAGTGCCTTGGAAATATCCGGACAACCAACACAAATATCTTTCCCCTGTCATACCTGGTATAAACGATACAAGGACTGATTTTTGGTTTGTTTGAAAAATCCTAGAGTGTTGTGAGGTCCTTTTTGCTGACTGTGTCTTCCTATACTTTTAAGCTATTCTTTCTATGCTGCTCCACAGTGTTATTTCTGTTTTGTTGGGTAGTTTGGTTGGTAGTTTAACCAGTATTGGCCTCATCGCCATTATGAATCTTCGAGCTCATGCCCTGCACACCAAGGATGTCTCTAATGAACATCAGGCCAAAGGTCTATCTCATACCACAGACTCTGAGGAATGTGATCGCCTGGTTGCCAGTGTTTAGGAGATATAGTTCAGTTACCTAAACCCCTCTGCCAGTACGAACATGAAACCTGGGACAGCAACGGGAAGCTAATTCATGAGTGGCTCTAGTTCCTGTGAGCATTCCTCTCTTCTCAGAGTAGCAGCAGTGACAGTTGTGGCAGTTGAACTGATTTTCCTGTTATTCGTTAATGGAGTATCTGAGCCAGGTGGTTAGAGCTTCGATAGTGTCTTTTCTCTATTTTCACTACATTCACACTGCAGATACTTGCTGTCTCAAATCTGTGTTGTAGATGTTTATATTCAATTTCTTTTCAAGTTGTGGATCAGTTGGCAAGGTCTTGCAGCAGGTTATTTATCAGATAATGCAATTTGTCTATACAATAGAGTGGACCAGAGCCATTGCAAGCCACAATGCAATGAATAATAGTTACCAATAAGTGGACATAGTCTCTCAAATTGCAGCTTCAAATTCCGGACTTTGGCTGCTTCATAAACAAGATACTGAAAAACAAAACAAAATTTCAACTGTCAGGTTCAAGGCACCAAATGATAAAGACGAAGAAAAAAACAAAAAAAAACAAAACCAAATCTCTTCTATTCTCCGCTCTCCTTTCAATCTATCCTGATTTCCCAACTATTTATGTTGAAATTCTCCAAAACCAACTATCCCATTGTTTTCCAATAATCCTTTCTTTCGAAGCCTCCTTTTGTCCCATTTTCTTCCGCTTTTCCGCCCATTCTGCCTTTTCCATCACCTCACATAGCCCTTTCATCATACAATTTGCTAACTGGTTACCCGCACATCCAAAGTTTATATATAAAAGTTATGCAATCTCCCAATCTTATAGCTCAACGAAACACAATCACCAACAGTCATTTGGATCATGTAAAAATAGCTACCAAAGTGCTAAAAATACACGGCCAGATTTTGACCCTCACAGTACTGCTCATCACAGCAATAGACGAGCTACATACCTTCAGCAACTTGACTGAACTGTTCGTTATCTGAGACATGATAAATTGATTGCACAATCGGAGGATGGGGTAGCGGGGTTCGATCTGACATTGCTATTCTCTGGGAGGTGTGTAACAGTAAATTTCATTACCAGGCAAAGTAAGCCTGTCCTGTAACGATGTGATCTTTGTCATTTGGCCATGTTGATTAAAGCCGACAATAGTGCTAGGTCACTTGAGTACTGTGGAGGATAATTTGTGTCAAGCTAGAGTTGGGTGGTATACCCAGTATTGTAGCTAGGTCTTTGTCGCTGTCACTCTTTGTTTCTTAGCTAGTCTGTTTTTGTGGCCTCTTGGGCCACTGGGAAATTTTCTGTGGCGGTCGTCAGCCATCAATCAACCAACCCTTCGTCATCCGGAGCAATCAATCAACCATCAAACACCGGACAATAGAGGACTAGGACAGAACAACGAACAACAGACAAGCAACAACCGAGGGCAGGGAAATATGGGGAACTGCAACGAAGACATCGACAGCAGGAACAGAATGCCCACCCAGTGTTGTTTACTGGGTAGCCAGAGGAACTATTTGATAGTCAGTGAACAACGAGCATTAACCCTTCAAAATCAACAGCAAAGAATAAGGCACTGCGGGTGAGCTGCAAGAATATAAAGCAAAAGTGATTTCACCCAGGCTCGAACCAGGGACACCGGTGTGTTAGACCAGTATGATAACTAACTACACCACGAAACCACATGCAAACCATCAATCAAACTCCTCCCTTAATCCTAAATGGGAACATGATAAGTTACATATCAACATCTCCGTAGTCTTGTCACCAATGGAGCAGAATACAGTCTTCATTGGACATTATCGGTATCAATCCTGCACAGGCGAAAGTCCATGCATATTTACTCCCAATTACTAACAGAGGCTAGTGTTGACACTGTTGAGCACTTTAAACTTAGATGGGGTGTTACAGCAGTTGAGGGGATACTTGAGAAATCTAGCATCAGGCTGAGCAGCAAAACCATATGCGACTTGTTTTATCCATAAACCATGCTTGCCTGGATCAACACCTCCCTATAGTCGAACATTATGCATGTTATATTTTGTATCCTCGATACTCCTGATTTGTTTACTTATGTGTCAATACAAGTGTAGGTCATCTTTCCCGCCCCTAAGGATCCCCAACAAAACCCCTCTATCTCACTGGATGAATTCTATGTAGGAGATTGCCCTTTTACAATGGACTTAGCGGATCGCGTTCCGCTTGACCTTGCAGTGCTTCATCTTGTAGGAGCTCTGTACATCACCCAGCCAGGTCATCTACCTGCCTTGTAGAATTATGCGCAGTGGATACAGATGTAAAGATATCTTTATAGTGGACAGGAGGGATTGTTCAAGGACTGATTCCCCAAAAATAAGTTTTGGGAATCTACATCCTTACAGGCATAATCCCAGAATAATGAAGAACAATACAACACAATGCAACAGCAGACACACCTGAAACCCATGCAAACTTCCCACAACCCAACCTTCCGCCACAATTCGAAACATTCCTTGACACGCCCAAAAATCGCTGTAGACAATTTCCCAAATCCTATCCCCTATCACCTCATAGCTGCTCCTACTCGCCCCTCAGTGAGATATATCTCTTTGTCAACTAATGCGCTTGTTAAAGAGGCATCGAAGGTAGAGGGTATTGCACAGGCACCTACTTTAGGAGAGGGTGCAGTTACCATTTCGGAAAGCTATTGATGTGAGCAGTCAGCTGGTTTGATTTCATCATCCGGTGCTATTTAGGGGATTATACCAGAAAATGAAATGGCTCCAAGTTCTTTACCACACTCCTCAGGGGCCACCAAAATCTGAACTCCTTCTGTACCCTGTGACTTATGTTCTACTCATTTCTCTCTCACACTCCCCAATCTGCAATTCTTCTTTGGTGATAGCTTTTATACCAAAAGAACCATGAAATTTGGGAACAGACATAGGGATGAAGAAGAATGAGATATAGGTTTGGTGAGGGCAGTATGAATGTTAAGACATTATTGGTGTCTAATATTGCTCGGAGCCAGGATGGGGCAGGGAGAATGGAAATGTTTGTGCTTCCTGTCCATATATTGGTTTTAATTGACAAGACATAGTTACTATAGGGGAGGCCAGTTAGGAGTACTAAAACCACCTTAGGCAGCAATTGTGTGCTAGGAGTAAGCTCTGAGCACGCCCGTGAGGGAAGAAATGGGTAAGCAGCTAATATTTCAGGATGAAAGAGCATTGGCCTGAGAGGAAGCATAGGGTGGTGGGACTCGGTCAGTTATTGTAGAGGCGAGGTCTACTGAATCCACAGATAGTCTTGTAACGATCACTGCCACCGTCGGTGTCGATGGAAACTTGAGGCGGGGGCCTGGGTGCAGAACATTTCGGGGCAAGGCCGGCTGCATGGGCATAAAGGTGCCGGATGTAGCTGGAAGCTACAGAGTCCAGACAGCTCAGGTTGTCATTAGCGTATTTCGTTTCTCCTCTTCTTCCTTGTTGTCATCAGCAATGGTGGTGGCTTCAATATAATCTTATCTTGATTCCTGCGCTCAATGACTGTTAGAAAAGTGTCTGGGATATGGTGGATCATCTCCTCCTCACCCGTCGGGGATCCATAGGCGTCGGGCTCTCGAGTGGCATTTGGAATTTGGAGTGGCAGCACTTTAAGCTGTGGCTGCAACTACTGGGCTCTCGATAGAGAGTAAGTTTCATTTGTAAAACAATAGGAGGTACGGAGCAAACTGGCCGTCAGTGGGGAAAGTTTTCATTGCATAGTGGGAGTGGGGTGGGGGATGTTCTTGTAGTGGGGCAAGTAGTAGGAGGGAGGGAAGTAGTAAAACGTGAGCGGAACCACAGTTGAAAGGTTGTTCAGATGTGGTGGGGATTGGGGCGCATGATCCAAGACAGTGCCCACCTCAGGTATAAAGTGTTTGCCTAAGATCTCCTCTTGCAACCATCTGCCGACCCCACGACTTACCTTCCACGTTGGCACATCTCCTACAACTCACATTGAGCTCTCTCTCTCTCTCACTCCACTTCTCTCGAGCATGTCAACATTTGGTCGCGTGATTACGTCAGATAAAATATTTCGAGAAATTATGCGTGCGGTTGATGCATGTAGTCCCCAGCTGTTGATCTTCAATGATGTCGATCCCGATGACTTTGCCGATGTCCAGGAGGGCTTATGATGTTAAAACAATCAACTTGAGAGATGTTCCATTCGGTGAGGCACCCCTTCTCCTCTATTCTTCATTACTAATTAACTCCCTCAGAATCCACTGGTTTGCTCTCGACAAAAGATTAAAAGTTGTAATGCCTTCGCAGTTGCACAAGTGTGTTAGAGGGTGGCTTATCAAAATGCTCAGGCAAGCCTCCAGGCAAAGGCTTATTCCTGAAGCTTTTGATGAAACGATTTACATAACGCCTTCTCCTAATTTGTTGCCAATTGCTCTGTGTTCAACTACTAAAATCTAGTTAATCAGGTTTACTAGCTTACGATAATTTCATTGGCAAATTTACAACCTCAGTGAAGGAAGCAGATTTAACCTTCATACCGCCTGTAGGTCACGAGATGGTACAGAGAGCAGCATTCCCCTCTGTTGTCCTAGAGTCAGGCTGGACTGAGTCTGCTACAGAACTACGACGAGATGCTAGAGTGTGGCAATTAGGGTCCAGATGAGCAGTGTGAGTCGTACTATATGCCAAATTTTATCGGCCCAATCATGAGAACCAGATTTGACTTGCTTTGACCATAAATCCCGCTCGCCTTGGTGGCCCACCCACTCCCATTTATGCAAGTCTCCTTTGTATCCTCGATACTACTAATTTCTTTACTAATGTGTCAATTGCGAGTATAGGTCATTTTTCCCGCCCCCGAGGACCCCACTCAATACCCTTCCCATGCTCTGCCATTTTATTGATCCCTACTCCTCCAGTGCCCGCAACTCCCCTCCCCGCTCTGTGCACTAGACTACTACCTCCTGCCCTCCCACTCACTTCTTTGCTTTTCCGGTCTCAGGACCCCTTTGGGCCAGGACTTCGGTAACACTTTGCCTTCAGACAGGATGAGTCTATATAGTGCTGTACTCCGATTAGTCAATGTCATGTCTGGATCATCTGATAAGGGGTAGTTGCTATGATAATGAAGTCAAAACGTAAACCACAGTTGGGAAGAAAAAAAAAAAGAAATAAGAGACTCAAAGGGTGATACGTAAAAATATGCAATGGAGAACAAAAAGAAGAGAATAAAGAGAGATATAAAAAAGAAAAAAATGGAAGGAAGAAAAATTGGAATAGAGAAAGAAAGGGAAAAGGAGAAAAAAAAAAAAAGTTAAAAACAGAGAATAAAAAAGAAGAAAAAGGAGAGGTGAAAGAGGGAAGATAAGTGATGAGAGAAGGGAAAAAAATATAAGTAAACAAAGTAGAGGTGACAAGGAAAGAGGTGGGGGCTTGAAAAAACAATTTGAGAGGGGAAAAGGAAAAAAAAAAAAAAGTGAGAAAGAAAGGGGGAAATGAAAAAGAAAAAAGAAAAAAAAGAAAAAAAGTTGAAGTGAATGAATAGGACCAATTATTTGTATAAAGGGGATCAAAATAGTATACCTGATAAGTATTCAGAATTTATTATACTTAATTCTCTCCATTATCATAAATTTTGATAACCTTTATATCTACTCTTATTTTGATCACTACTATAAGTGATTGTATAATAATATTCCCAAATCTTTATTTCTCCTGCTGATTAACATTCACAATTCCTCATATAACTAAATAGTAATTGTAACTACTCTGCTTCATCAAAAATATTAAAAAAGTAAATAAGATTCTGGGATGATCAATAATGGTTTAGATATTACCTTTGAAAGATTAGGGCTAATTATGTAGTGCTATGGAGTTGGGGTAAGGTTGTTTTGTTGTGACTTGGTTTCATTTTGAGATGATAAACAAATAGTTTAGATATTATATTGAAATATTAGAGCTAATTATGTAACATTGGGGAGTTGTGTTAAAGTTGTATTATTGAGACTTGGTTTCATTTTGTGGGTTCTGGAACTGTAGATTCCTATATAAGAACCAACTACATTTGATTTTTACATACAGACTACCAAAGAACACCTCACACAGGTTCAACAAGAAATACTATTACTTGTTAACCTTCTAAGTAGGGATTCTCCTCTTGCCATTTGTTCTACTCTGGAGGAGTGAACTTTCTCCAGCACCTACAGTCTCAGCCAGTACTAGTTCTTGACCTTTCAATACAATTTTTTAATTATTTTGTCCAAATAAACATCACCAAAAATATTATCTTGTGACCAGTGGGTCCTGTGCATTGGACACACAGGGTGCCCATAATGATAACTGTTAACCTAGATGTAATATTGAACTGACATCACATTGTGACATCGAGTCATGTGCCTAGTGCATCCTGATGCTATCCAGACATGGACCCCTACACCAGGTGCACCCTGACAACATCTGATTCTGCACTCTTGCATCCTAACAATGTCTGATCCTCGGGTGTTGCATCCTAACAATGTCTGATTCTCAGGTTTTGCATCTCCACCGCATCTGATCCTAGCCTATTGTGTCTGGATGCTACTTGATCCTAAGCTCTTACCTTGTGGCGATGCCTAATTCTGGCATCCTCTGCCGTGACATCACATCCTCACCTCTGTACATCAAGATTCTACAATACTCACAATGCGTGACCTGGC